CCGGTTGACGCGTTCAGTAGCATTTGTCTGAGGGTGATATGCCGTAGTGAGTCTGTGCACCGAGCCTAAGGCAGAAACAACATGTTCAAAAAGCTCACTCACAAAAGGAGACCCTCTGTCAGAAATCAGGTAAGTGGGCGTACCATGTCTGTTTGACCATGTCAAACAGTTTCAGCTCTTTCAAAGGGTGCAAAGCACATGTGGACTTGGGTTCTATTGTGCACTATTGTGAAACCAAAGTCCTGCAAACGAAGTGACCAGCGGGCAAGTCGGCCCGTTGGGTTTTGACGAGACATGAGTCACCTGAGACTTTTGTGGTCAGTGAAGATAGTAACATGAACACCTTCAACATATGGGCGGAAGTGTTCCAGAGCCCATATCACAGCAAGACACTCCTTCTCTGAAGTGCAATAGGGCAGTTCAGCTTTGTGAAGGGAGCGACTAGCAAAAGCCACAACATACTCACAACCCTTGTCATCCTTTTGCATCAACACTGCCCCAAGACCAATGTCACATGCATCGGCGTGAATGGAAAAGGGACTGTTCAAGTCTGGAACTGTTACAGTGTGAGTGTCTGATGTACAGATGCTTATTTTCATGCAGCAAGAAGGCCTACAGTTAGTCTGACTTTATTTCCATTTGTTTTCTGTTGTGTTGTAATTCTAGTTTTCATTCAGATCATGCTATGAAATTTGTTATACAGTATTTTACATTTGTGTTACTATTTCAACAGCCAAAGCAACAGCCCACCTTTTCAGGCTTTGACTTTTCCATCTCCTCGTCGGTCTTTCCCAGTGCAGCAGCCAGAGCTGGATCAAGCAGCCAGCAGCCAGACGCCTCCTGCAGGGAGACTAACTGCAGCAAAGGGTCTCTGGGTGGCTGTTCGGGAACAGCAGCTGGAAAATATAAGATGGAATAAAGACAAAACCTGATTATGGTGCTAGATGAGACAACATAAAGTGTATATGACTAACCAATGCACAAACCATTACACCTTAAACAGTTATAAATAATGTCTTATTTGATTAATTTGAATATCTGTCAAAAATGTAACGTTAAATCTAATTACCAAAGCAATTCATGTGACAAATTGTGTATTTACAACAGCCGTAAAACTGACAACACCACACACCCCAGCATTAGACTTTATGAATTGAACAGGCGGAAGTTAGTCGGATTTTAATGAATAACTTTTGAAAGTAATTAACCTGATCAGATGAATACTTTTTTTTTTTTGTGTCCCGTTTGGATCTATAGCCATCAGAATTGTTGTCTTGAGGCCAAGAAAGATGCCAAGCGGATTTATTTTACCAAGTGGATCATCATGGCCTTGCCATATTGGTCC